CCTATAATTATTAACTTGACAACAGAATTTGTCAAGTTAATAATTTTCCCCATTACTTCCCCATGGTTTCCCCATTGTTTCCATAATTATCAATTATCTTTTTCATGGAGAGTCTCCAATATTATCCTAACTGATAAAATATATTCTCAAGCTTCAAAGTAATTCATTATCTGAGAAATAGAGACGGCAAGCCTCTTAATTGACATCCTGCCCCTTCTACTTACCAGTCATGTGAACTGGGATCCTTTCTCATCTTTTCCAGTCCTGTATATAATGGAGAAAATTATACCTAATCTGTGTGAAAGAAAGAGAAGAAAAAGACCCAAAGCAGATGTCTCTTTAAGTCCCTAATAACTCAGAAATAATATCTGTTTAATAGTAATTTTGCCTGCAAATCTAGGGTCAGATCTTGGATTGCAAATTCAAGTGACTCCTAAGACGGAGGACGAAGATCTATCTGAGGCAATTTAAGCTTGTCCCTCAGCCAGCTTTCAGATTCGGTGGATATCACTGTACTTACACAGTGGTCAAAAGACCCACCATCTTAGAAAACAGTCTTTTGCAATATTCGTTGACAGCTTCTTAGTGGAGTGCATTTTAAATGTACATAAATTCTGACCTAGAAACCCCTCTTCAAGCATTTATCCAAAGGGGGAAAAAACAGTTGGTTTAGAGCACAAAATTCTATGCCCTAGGATGATGCAGTAAATATAGTTGTCTGTCAATAGGGACTTACTAAGTGAGATATAGGGAAACTTCCAACTTCTTCAACATGTAAAGAGCTTAGAAGTTCTCACTGCCATCCTCATAGGAAGCTAGACAAATGGAAAATGAATTACTTTTCTTGAACCCATCAGGGAAGTGAAGTTGCAGAATGACTTGTCACGGTGAAATCTAGGGACACGGGCAAATTCTGCAAGTCACAGCCTAGACTTTCTTTACCTGGAGCAAGAGCCACGGAGGTCATAACTGGTAGAAACACTTAAACAGTAATTTGGACAAATTTCTGGAGACTGAGTGTGGACTAGCATGAGAATGAGAAGCTCCCTGGTTGCCAGAGTCATAGGAGGACCCCAAAGTGTTATGAGTCATACCTACAGTAGGAATATCACCAGGCTGTCATAGCTTCATTGCTCTGGCTGGGAAAGGGGAAGAATAATCATTGTGAAATATGTTCAGAGGCTTCACATTAACAAGGATCTATTCTCTGGGGGAAATGACTTGATCAGAGCTCTATGTCTGCTATGTGAAGGGCATTTCTCTCACTCCAGCCCCTTCTCTGCTTCCTACCTCACCCAAGAGAGAGAGAAAAAAAAGAAGAAAGTCAAGGTTTCAAGGAAATAGATTGGGAAAACTAAGGCCAGGGAGGAGAGCAGACAGTAGGAGATACATATATGCGTATGAAGGACACAATCCATAGACATAGGCCCACTAATGACAGATCTAATCATAAGATTTTAGGGCTCCTGTGTAATAACAATGAATTACAAAAAACTGCCAGATCCTAACTCTATTTAAGGAGCTCTTAAGGGAAGCCCAAGACAACAGGGAATACAAAAATCAAGGACTCTACAAGTATGTGAATCTTCTGGCACCTACAGCTACAGCAAACACGAAACACATCCCAACTTCTTACCAGATTAGCATAAAACCTCACACTAAAGACTTATTCACCAGAGGTCCTATTACCCAGTGCAGCATGCGCAGCTTCCATCAAAAAGTTGCAAAGGATGCTAAACTGATAGGGAAAAAAAAAAATAGCCTGTAGAGACAAAGCATTAGAGCCAGACTCAAATATAGCACAAATTTTGGAATTATTAGACAATTTAAAGTAACTATAATTAATATGTTAAGGGCTCTTATGGAAAATGCAGACATTACATAATATCAAATGGATCATGTAAGCAGAGAGAAGGAAGCTCTAAGAAAGAATCAAAAGGAAATGTTAGGAATCAAAAGCATCGTAACAGAAATTAAGAATGTCTCTGATGGGCTCATGGGCAGACTGGACCCGGCTGAGGAAAGAATTCATGAACTCAAAGATAAGTAATAGAAACTTGCTGGATTAAAATGCAGTGAGAAAAAAAGAGTCGGGAAGGGCACATCACAGAACCTCCGAGACCTGTCCAACAATTTCGAAAAGTGTAATATATGTGTAATTGAAATAACAGCAGGAAAAGAAACACCAGACCATTAATGGCCGAAGAATTTTCCACAATTAAATAAAACAGATTAGTGGAATATTGTGAAAGAAGTAGGAATCGTGACTCAAATCTGTATTTTTTGCATAAAAAGCTGTATTATTGACTATGCAGATTATGAAATGGTGTATGTATACACAGGTGTACACATGTAATAAAGGATTTTTGGAAGAATCTCTACTTATATATAACTGTCCGATCTGTTGCAGTTTTTACTTTCATCTTTACGCTTTTCTAAATTTGAGTCTGTTTCCACAAAAGAACGTATCCCATATTAAGGTAAACAGAATAAATGTTTTCCCTTTAATTATGTTTTTAAAGATTTATTTATTTGAGAGAGAGAGAATGTGCACACACACGTTCATGCATGAGTCAGGGGAGGAGCAGAGGAAGAGGGAGAGAAAGAGAGAGAATCTCCCACAGACTCCCTACTGAGCAGGGAGCCAGAGGTGGAGCTCGATCTCAAGACCCTAAGGTGATGACCTGAGCTGAAACCAAGAATCAGATGCTTGACTGGCTGAGTCACCCGGGGGGGGGGGGGGCTATTTTCCCTCTTAAATAAAGAAGGTAAACTTCTCAATTTGAAGTTAGTGGGAATGCGGTGTTTGGCTTTCCCACCCAAGGCAGCCTCTGATGTTGTTGGGTGCCTCTCACCATAACAATCTCTAAGCTTACAACCCTAAAAAAACTTTGAGTCTTAAATCTTAAGCTTGCAGCCTACAGTGTTCACAAGTACGAAACTGATCACAGCCCAGTGGAGCTGAAGAACATACACCCAACTTCAGGAACTCAGTATTTTCTCACCTCAGTTCCAATGGCACGACAGATTGGGTGCCCCAGGGACAGGCAGTTGGCCATCTCCTGGTCACTTCCAAGAGCCCCCAGGGCAGAATGGCCTGGGAGCTGGGAGCCCACACAAAAGGGGACAATTTACATTGAATTTTAAACACTCTCTGTGCTTCTCTGGGGCCCTCACTTCCTCTGGGCATTTGAGGTAAAGGTTGTTTCCTAGATGTTGGAGGAGGGTATGACCAAGCCAGTTGTCCTCTCTGCAGGGTGATGCAAAATTTGCACTTGTGGAGGCCGAGAAAATTAAGGCCATTCCACTTTAAGTCCAGCGTTAGCACAAGTACAGCCATCCCAGGCCCCTGTGAATAAGAGCTGAACTTTACCTTACTTCAGTTACAGGAAGAAAACAGCTTGCAGCTTAACGTCCTAGAAGGCCCCATATCAAAATGTAAACAGAACTAGAGGAATTGCTCCAGCCCTTCTGGAGGTCCTCTAGACCAGTCCTTAAAACTAAGCTGAAACCCATCTCGGGGTCCAAGTCCCTGCTCCGCTGTGTCGGGTATACTTGGACCCAGGCTCAAGCTTGTAAATAAACCCTCATGTGTTTGCATGGGTGTCGGCTCCTTGGTGGTTTCTCGGATTCACAATCTTGGGCACAACACACTTATGTGGTGTCACTCGTCACCCACCACTGTTTCAGGGGGTCATGGAGAGGACTAGACCACTTGTGGCCCTGAGAGCTGGACCCAGGCGATTAGAAGCTCCTCACCCCCTCCTTTGTCCTTGAAATATATGTTCTGCTCATCTTTCCCACACTGAGAGCTGTTCCAAAGAGGCTGCCTTGAGAGAGTATTGTTGAAACCATCTGGATAGTATACCTGAGAGATGGAAACTCTAAGAAAGAATCCAGTTAACCTAGATAAGGCCTCTGAAAGTTTTGCAATTCTAGTGGGTAGATGTAGAGATCGACTTGTCCTGTGGCTGCCCAAGACAAGCCTTGGACGTTCCTCTGCTTATGAAAGCTGCCACCTGGCAATCTGAGCAGCCTGCCTTCCTCCCATCTCTCTGTGCCCTCCACGCATAGGGATGGGTTTGTGACCCAGCAACTCCTCCCTACCAAGCTCCAAATGCCCTTGTCACTGACCCCCTTAGGCACTGCCATGCTCAGGCACACTGACTCCCAGGCCGCAGCAGCTGGAAGCCTGGAACAGATGTACTTACAGCAATCTGAATGGGTCTTAAAACCATGGCTCGGAGCAAAAAAGAAAGGACACATTTATATAACTTAAAAATGCATCCACTCCAAACAACACACATTTTACAAGAATACATACCAACCAAAAGATATATATTAAATACATGAAATGGTTGCCTATGGAGATTAGGGGTGGGGTAGGCAGGAGTGACAAATGGGAATTTTAGAAATTAAAATATAATAAAAATAAAGCACCCTGACTCCTCAGGTCTCAACCTCTTGCCCTACTCGGATGCACAGCTGTCCAGAGCCCTCTTAGCTATTTCGTGTCCCTACTCCTTCCCCAGAGTACCCCCGTCCCATAGTTCTTCTTCTCTTCCTTAAAGACCCTCAATACCAACACCAATGTCTCTCCATTCACTTCACGCATATCCTCCTTTTCTCTTTCCTATTCATAGGCCTCATTTCTCAATCTCTGACCACTTCAACCATATCTTGAGCCTTCCCCTCAGCAGCCACCACCACCCTCACAGAGAAACACCCATTCTGATGAAAACCCTACCGGAGCAGAAAATTAACAAAACTGGTCCAGAAGGCCTTGACTTTGTTTGCCTGCCTTCTTTCTCTTTTCTCTCTGCCACCTTTTCTTTCCTATCCCCTAAGGCACTGACTGGCACTGCCCTGGAAGCTCTGGGGCTTGTCCAAAGTGAGGCCAATAACCACTCCATAACTCCCCCCACTCCCCAGAAGCTCCTCCCTTTCCATCCTTTGAGTCCATAGACTCAAAGTCCAGCTGGCCAGTGAGCAGTTGGAGCCCTTCCTCCGACCTGCTTCCACGGGTACTCGCTCTCGAACTGAGAGGGATGACTCCAGCCTGGAGACACCTGCTGAGAGCTTTGCACCAACAGACCTCTTCTCACAGGACCCCCAAGATGTGCCCTTCCTTGAGCCGTGAGTGGAAACCAAGAGCACGTGGGTCAGCTGGGGGTCCCCGGGGGGGGGGGGCAGGGCAGAGCTGAGCTCAGAGTCTGTTGCCTGGGATTCTGGGATAAGGCCTGGATGGGGGTTTGGAGACAGGCCATCTGACAGAGTAGTCCTCACCCCAGCAGATCCATGCCCCCTACCCGTGCCCAGTATTTTGCAGTGCCCTCTTCTTGCCCTGAAATGAAATTCATGGATAATAAAACCCAAGTATGCACAATTTCAAAGTGAAAACAATGTGGTATCTTAGCTGTAATATAAAGAAGAAACAGAAAGAAAGCAAGTCAAAATTAAGTGTTAGCTGCAATAAATAGATACTCAAGGATGGTGAGTTCAGAAGACATAAAGCCCCTCATGAATTTCTACCTTGCCCCCAGGAAGTAGTACCATCATCTCAAGCAATGACAAGGAAACAGACTCAGAGGAGTGCAGTCATGTCCCCAGAGACACCCAAGAACAAGGACTAGACCCTGAGGCTTCTTCTTCCACTCAGACTGTCTCTCCTGCGGGAACAGAAGGTGTGAGAAGACCTGGGGTCACCAGTCATTGGTGGCTTTATGTATTCTATGTTCCGTGCTTGTGATTTTCCCTGAATCTCTTCACCTCACCCCCAATTCCCCTCCACCAAACGCTAGCATAAGCAGCTGTCTGCAGGTTTCCATATGCTCACAAGCCCTAATCAGGTACAGGAAATCCTCTTCTGTCCCCCATTAGGATCAATGTGATCTTCATTTTCTCATCTTTGCCTTTTCTCTGCCTTTCCTTCCTCTCCTGTTTGCTTTTTATCCCCCCAACAGTTGCTATTCTTTGAAACTTAATACACCTCGTACTTTAGATGGTTATTTCCTTTCATCTTCACCCAAACCTGTTAGTATTATTAACCCATTTCACAGATGGGGAGACAGAAGAATAAAAGTAATTAAGAAAGTTGGTCAAAGACAGAAACGCAGAAGTAACAACTTGGGACCTAAAGCCAGGTCTGTCTGACTCCAAGTCAGAATGATTCCACCAGACCCTTCCTTATCTACTCTTCTTCCAACCCTGTTTGGGTTTCTCTTTTCCCTCAGTCATGGGTCTTTTGCCAGAACATCATTTAACCCCGTCATTTTCTGAGAAGGAGCTGGAATTATACACAGAGTCTTGGGTTCAATAAGGAGGATATTATGCTGCAAGTACCTGCTGCAAGGTAGAGAGAATGCCCTTTCTGGTCCCCCTTCCCTTTCCTGGACTGACCCCTGACAATTGTGGAGCTGGGCTTGTGGAGGCCAAGAAAATTAAGGCCATTCCACCTCAAGTTTAGCATTAGCACAAGTACAGCCATCTCAGGCCCCTGGGAATAAGAGCTGAACTTATAGGAAAAACTGCAGAATGTCCTTGACAGAGAATCCCATATCAGAAAGAAAACAGAGCTCAGAATGCCCTTGACAGCGACAGAAAATCCTGTGTTGGAAGGAAAACAGATCTTAAGAAACTCCCCCACCCTTTCCCCCATATCGGAATGAAAAAATTCCTCCACCCTTTGAAAATCCCCTAGACCAGCCCATAAAAACCCAGCTGTAACCCCCTTGGGGTCCAAGCCCCTGCACTGCTGTGTGGAGTATACTTGGGACCCAAGCTCGAGCTGGTAAATAAATCCTCGTGCGTTTGCATCGGTGTTGGCTCCTGGTGGTTTCTCGGATACGTAATCTTGGGCACAACAGGCTGGTGGTAGCAGGTGAAGCTTACTGCCTAGAAATCTCTTGATCTATTACTGGGGACGCCTTAAGAGCTGCCCCAAGGAAACTACAGGAAAAAAAGGACCCTGGCGACCTTAGGCCATGTAGACATGAATGCCACGCTCTACCTGGCCTTTCAAGAACCTGTGGGGCTTGATTTCCACTTTCTGACCTATTGTACCTGACATATGCCTGCTTGTGTTTGTTCATCCAAACACACATTCACTGACTACAGCCTTCTTAAGAACCTGCTGTGTGCAAAATATACATTCAGTCAAGAGTGTTCGAGTGCCTACTATGCATCCATATGTAGACCAAGCCACGGGGAGCAAGAAGCCATGGTTTTGTGTTGTATCTTAGTGGAGGAGATTGAGCACAAACAGACAAAACAATAAATACAAGAAAACATCCAGCAGAGATACGTGCCACGAATAAAACCAAACTGGGATAAGAAGATAGAAAAGTAGAATGGGGGAGGAAAGAGGCAGGGTCTGTGTGAGAGGTATTAAGTGCTGACAGGTAGGTGAAAATAAATATGCCACCATCCTTGTATAACGCCTGCATATAGACTGTATGGTATTTGGGTAGGTAAAGTATTCAGCTCTGCCTGTGATTGATATGCACAATCACTTTGGGCAAATATGTGCACAGAGTTACAGAAGCAATTTGTTTTGGTGTAAAAGAATAGAGAAAATATCTCTTCCTTGCTAATTATAGTTGTTAAACGTATTTCATTTCTAGGGAGATGGGGTATGTGCTCAAAAGTACTATTTCCATATGTCTGCCTACTTTATCACAAGAGGGGTGCGCAGGAGGGCAGATGAATGGCAAATAATGCCATTTCCAGCTGAGAAACCTCCCAAGATTCTTGCGAAGCCTTTTCTAAGGAAAACATTAAAATGAGCCCTAAAAGGAGTCTCCCACCTGCTCTGCTCTAGGCAGTCCTTGCTGCCATCTGCAGAACTGACTTAACCCTTGCAAAGGGCCAGGAAGAGAAGGCCTGCTCCCAAAAGGCCCAAGAGGACGGATGGACCCATCAGCTTCAGAATCGGGCAGAGCTCTTGCTTGTGAATAACTGTTCTGCAACATGCAACTGCCCTGCCTCACACAAGCAAAAAGCATTGATGGGAAACATATGGAGAGGCGGAACTGAAAGAATCAGCAGGCAGGTGAGGAGGTGGGCAGGGGTGGGCATGAAGAGACATCAGGAAGGTCCGGCAGGGATAGAAATAACTCCTAGCAGGAACAGCCTCATAAGCAAGTTATGGCTCTGAGGGGGGGCTGCAGCCATTCTTTCCAGGCAGGTTATCTGCTCAAGATGTCAGATCCTAAAGAGGGGACACCTTGTTCACCCTTCAGAGGTCTTGTGCCCATCCCTTAGCTTCACTGGTGGGAGGCAAGCACCTGATGTGATTATCCTGTCACTGAGCACACACGGTTCAGAGGGACTGAAGCACTATAGATCAATGCCAAACGTCCTCTTGGGTAGGACGTAGGTGCTTTCTGGACACCTGTGACCATCTGTAGTAACTTCCTGCAAACGGTGGAAGAGTTTATGAAGGGAAAAGGATCCCCTCTTGAGTCTGGAAGCAGATGACATAACATTTCTCCCCAGCCAACCACAGTCCCTCAATTATCCAGACTACAACTTAGTCTCAACACACCTCCGTGGTAGGTGGCATCTCTAACCCTCAACCCTACTGAAGTTTCTCAAAACTGCAAATGCCCGGTATGTAATCTCTCCCTCCCTTGGCTCTTAAGTGAATAAGATCTTTCTTTTTTAATTCCTTGGCTACCCTAAGTAAATGAGATGTCTCAAGTGGCAAGTTTTTTTTTTAAAGCTACGATTACACTATGCAAATAAGGCATAGTTAGCATTTTGATAAATCATCTTAATGTTCTATAACTATGTTCATTGTGTATTAAATAATGTATACCTTTTTTAATTTGAAAGAGTGAGGACTACCTTGTTAAATACCCTCTCTCTATTGGAAACAGGCTAGGAATGTTAGAAAACTCTTTATCATTACAGAGAGAGTATCCCCCTCCCCGGAATTTTCAGATGCCCACAAAAATTGATTTCCCTCCCTTATCATGCCACAACAGATTTTCACTTTTTGATACTATGATTTTTGGAGAGAGAAAACCAAGTTAGGGTGACACTGTTGTGGAACCTCTGAGAATTAGGTAGCTGGAAAATTAAACCCAACTACCCACTTATAATTTGCATTTATTATACAACAGCAATTCTCCAAAGAGAATTCCACCTTTAAATGTCTTGGGATGTCCAGGTGACCTGGAAAGGAAATTAGTGAATTGAATGAAAATCATTAGCTGTCATCTGTATTTAGCATCAGGCCTGAAAGGGTGACATCAGATCAGTTAAAACAACAAAAAAGAAATTTAAAAAATGCCTATACAGAAATAGACCTGGCATTTCATTTTATGAACCCAGATCACAGTCATCCCTTCCCCTACTTCTCTTGGGGCTGTCTTTCCCCTCCCACGTGCACAGCCCACAGGCGTGAACACGCAGACATGCATGTACACACACACCCACAATCTCCAAGAACCCAAAAGTTTATTAACCCCTGACTCTTGTGATGTCCTCAAAACAGAGGCTAATTAGGAATAAAGAATGCAGACAATTATCCAGATATTTAGATTTTACATTTCTTTCTAGCAGATAATGAAACCTAAAGGCTTTTTGTTTCTTTATGTCCATCAGTTATTATCATTACTATTAGTTTTGAGTTTGAGTTGTTTGGTGAGAGGAGAGCTATGAAAGGCGATAACTTGTGAGGTATTATTTAGATTCACTTCTCTATTGACTTATCTTTTTCCTCCTTGGTTGCTTCCTTCCTTCTCTCTTTCTTTGTGCTATTTCTTCCTTCCCTACTTCCTACCCTTCTTCCCTCTTTCTTTCCTTCCTTCCCCCTTCCCACTTTTCCTCCTTCTCTCTTTCCCTCCCTCTTTCCTTCCTTCCCTCTTCCTTCCTTCTCTCCTTCCTTCTTTCCTACTCTCCTTCCTTCCTTCCTTCCTTCCTTCCTTCCTTCCTTCCTTCAGATAGGCTTTCACGTATTTCATTTGGAGACCTCACTCCACCATCACATTCCTATCAGTTTGGTGAACGAAGGACTGAATAAACCTACCTTGACTGTTTGAAATTTGGGCTCTTCTTTATCAAATCCTTCTCCAAAACTCTGCCCGCCCCCTGGCCTACTTTCAGAATCCCTATAACTTTGGAGTCAAGAGAATTTACAACCTTTTCAATGGGCAGCTTCAATTGTGTAGGCAGGAAGAAGGGACTGAAGGAGTGAAGGAAATTTGAATTCTTAGAAACACTCAGAATATTTTTTTTTCCATTTCAAAAGAGTATCTAATGCAGAGAGACACAATGGAAAGCTTTTCAAAAGGTGAAATTCTCAGAAAACTTAAGCTGTTTTTTTTTCCTCATTTCTATGCATGGATAACCTAAAGTCACTTGTTTTTAAAGTAAAAGCAAATTAATGACATTAGTGATTATTTAGAGCAGAAAAGTGAATGAGATCTCTTTGAAAGAAAACATATTCAGAGTTGTTACTTTCCAGCTTCATTTAGAGGCATAATTGTTCATTGTGTTACTCAGGACTGTGACTTCATAACCACACAAAACACCAACATTTCATCTATGGATTCAAACCTTCATGCTGAATAAGAGGCATGATTTTCTCAGCTCTCTCCACCTGTAAAATGATCTTGATACTGACCTTGAATCTTCAAAAGTAACAGTATTCTTTTCTAAGAGTACTTACAAGGTCTCTAAACATCTCTTCCAGCTGTGATATTCTATAAATCCATTATCCTATCCCACTGCTATAGATGGGTCAAAGCCTGTGCTGGAAAGGAGGGGTGAAGGTGGCTAGCGAATGAGAAAAGGAGAAGTATCCTGGAAACAAACAAAGGATTGCAGAAGGGGAGTGGGGGGGGGGGAGGATGGGGTAACTGGGTGATGGGCATTAAGGAGGGCATAGGATGAGATGAGCCCTGGGTGTTATACTATATGATGGTAAATTGAATTTAAATATAATATAAAGAGAGAGAGAGAGATTGAGAGAAAGAGAAGTAGGCTGGGAGCTAGACACTTGAAATTTCATTCTGGTTCTGCAGCTAACTAGCTTGGTGAGCTTAAGCAAAGTAATTCACCACTTGGGGCTGGTTTCCTTATCTATAAAATGAGCATTTTAACAACAAAAGACATCTGAGGCCCCCTTCTAGCTCCAAATATAAATGATTCCTCCGCTTTGCCGTGGTTTGGTCTGGTTCTATGTTGTCATGGTCCTTATGCTGTGTTTTGAAGGAAAGTTTTGTCTTCCAGGTCTATTTGCATGTATTTGCTATTGTAGTACATTGCCTAGCACCTACCTCTCCTCATTCTCTCTAAGGATAGTCAACAGCCATTCCTTTATTGTTTACTGAAAGCCAACCTGTATATCAGGTATCAGGAATGGGACTGGCACCAGGATTTGGGAACTATGCAGCTCAAAGCTTAGAAAATGCCTCTAAGATCTATTCCAGCAACACAATGTACCACAGTGGCAGAAGTTTAGTGGACTGTAGAGAGAAATGCAGCCCACGAGGCAGTGTGCAGGGAAGCTCGTGAGGGACCACAGCAGGAAAAACAAAGACTTCCCCCCAAAATCCCCCATGCTTTTGTTGACTAGATTTGAAAGAAACTCTTTTTTTCTTCCAGAAAATTTTGTATTGTTTTTAAAACCAAAGATCGATTTGAACATCAAATGATGATCAAATGATTTGAACATCATATTTTTAAACTAAGAAATCAACCAAATTGCCTAAGGATCCTGATTCAAATTACTATAGGTAATTTCTATAAATGGGCTTTTTTGCTGTATAATTGAGGACCCTAACTCACTTCACCTTTAGTAGGTGCTTTCTGGACATCTGTGACCAAGCTTGGTCTTCATACAAAACCCAGAATGCCTCCATGTGACTTCACACCTGAAAAATACCAGGTAAGAGTCAGAACTTTAGCAAAACCCAAGAAGGTGGTTCTTCTTGAAAGGGCTAAATTAATGGTTTCCCCAAGAAAGACCCACAGACGGCCCTGCCTGCCCCTGACCATAGCATCCTAGATACTCTATCCTTTAAGTCACTGGGAGCATCTGAACTCTCTTACTCCACCCACTCAATGCTGTTGCATGGACTGTGCATGTGTGAGTGAGAGAGCAGAGACAGACCAAGAGTACAAGAAAGAGACTAGCGCTGTATCACAGGGATATAAATATAGATACACACACAAATACACATATCACAACTGTGGTGGCACACATTTGCTTTCTAAAATGTTGTTCAGGGGCAGCCCAGGTGGCTCAGCGGTTTAGCGCCGCCTTCAGCCCGGGGTGTGATCCTGGAGTCCTGGGATCAAGTCCCATGTTGGGCTCCCTGCATGGAGCCTGCTTCTCCCTCGCCTGTGTCTCTGCCTCTCTCTCTCTCTCTTTCTCTCTCTCTCTCTCTCTCTCTCTCATAAATAAATAAAATCTTTAGAAAATAAATAAATAAATAAATAAATAAATAAATAAATAAATAAATAAATGTTGTTCAAGCTATCTCATACAGCAACGTGTGATCTGATCTGCAGGAGTCCTTCCCTCCAAAATAAAAAGTTATAACTTTGCTCTTAGACTAAGAAATATTGGTCTCCTCTCTCTCTCTTCTTCCCTTCCTCCCTTCCTCCCTCCCTTCCTTTACAACCCCTTTATCCTATGTAATACTCAGAGGTTAGAAATTATAGAGTCAATAGTCAGGAGGGACCCACAAAGAAGAGAAGTATAGGAGAGAAGTATAGGAGAAAGTTTTGACAATTAAAGACATGAACACCACCAGCATTTCATTTTCTTTTCATTCTAAAAAAAAAAAAGAAGAAAGAAAGAAAAAAAGAAAAGAAAGAAAAGACATTACTGCAGACATTTATTTCTAAAGTCTTTTTATTTTTCCTACAGCTTAAATAAATTCAAAGACAAGGCTTTCCACTGAGACGTAGACCATTTCAGCTTCCTTCATCATATTTGATCTAGAAAGGGTTGGAAGGGCCACATTAATAATTTCCCCTATGTGAGAGGAAGGAAGGACCTGGGGCAATGAGGACACGGGACAAATACACCCACTTGCGGGCACAGGACAGCAGCCTTACGCTGCTGGGTCAGTAGAGAGGAAAGACCCTGCCTTTGAACCTGCTGTTGATCTTGTAAGAAATGTGGAGGTGAGGAAAAGAGAGATCTTAACCCTTGCATCTTCCTTATCTACAGTCCCTCGCCTATGAACGTGTCCTGGAGATCCACAAGCAACATCTTTCTCCCATACTGACGGCGTATTTTCCAAAGCCCTTGTTGCTCCACCAGGGTCACAAGGAATGGCTGTTTGATTATGAGGGAAACAGATACCTGGATTTCTTTTCTGGGATTGTCACTGTCAGTGTGGGTCACTGTCACCCGTGAGTATCCTTAAAATTCCAGTGTTTTCACTCCAGAAGGATATATGGAAAACAGGCTAAACGATGATGTTAGTGATTCAGAACTCTGGTTAAAAACTCTCTCCTGAGGCAAATCCCAGTCTATGGCTGTTCCCTGCTATAGCTCCCTGCTAGTTTCTGGTAACAACAACAACAAAAATCTTAACAGTGTGCTTTCTGTTTTCTTGACAATGCAAGATTTATTCATTCTCATGCCATGTGGCGTATACCATGTGATTGGACTGTTGCTGTGTATGTGTGTGCTTGTCTTTTTTACAAGTAACAGCTTTCCAGAGAGAGGCAATGCACTGAGGAAAAGGCAGAAAGAAGGGAAAGGCAGGAGTTCTCAGAGACCATGGGGGCGGCTGTGGGGGGGTGTGGGATGATGAAATGAGAAATCACTTCTAGCCTAAGGATCTTCCTCACCCCTGACCAATGGATGAGGAAAGAAAAGATGGTGAGAGAGAGATGTAATCATAGCTAAAAATCTGCATTAGAAATGTTTGGATCTACTAATCCTGAGATTCTCTGGAGCCTTGGTCATCCACATAAATGCCCTGGGCAGTTTCTTCTGTGGTCCTTTTGCTTTTGATGCCATTCTCTCATTTTAATGCCTATTCCTTCTTGCCTTTAATCATTTGGCCAACAAAACTCACATAAAGTGAGACCAAAATAAAGCAGCAAGCCAAAATAAATTGAGTAAGTTCAGGTCCTTCTGTCAAAGCCGGAGCAAAGGGTCTTCCCCTCCAGTAGCTGTCCAGTGGTAGGAGCGACTGCAGGGTCTAGCCTCACCTATTCCTCCCACAGCCTCCTCCTTCCTTTTTTTTTTTTTTTTTTTTGGAGATACAAACTATTACTTTTATTTTTTTAATAAGTTAATTTTTTATTGGTGTTCAATTTACCAACATACAGAATAACACCCAGTGCTCATCCCGTCACGTGTCCCCCTCAGTGCCCGTCACCCACTCACCCCCACCCCCCGCCCTCCTCCCCTTCCACCACCCCTAGTTCGTTTCCCAGAGTTAGGAGTCTTTATGTTCTGTCTCCCTTTCTGATATTTCCCACACATTTCTTCTCCCTTCCCTTATATTCCCTTTCACTATTATTCATATTCCCCAAATGAATGAGAACATACACTGTTTGTCCTTCTCCGATTGACTTACTTCACTCAGCATAATACCCTCCAGTTCCCTCCTCCTCCTTCCTGCCTCGGGAGGAACTAGTCCCACGTGAGGTCCTAACGAGCATGTAAAATAAACTTCCAATGCAGTCTAAAACACGCGGTAAGCACACATGAAAGAAAGGAAGAACAAAGTAGAGAAAATTTTTTTCGACATTCTTATTAACGATGTTGGACATTGTCCCTGTTAGTGGGCCGCTCACTAGCTTTCCAGACCTTTGTGCTTCTCCGGATCTCCTTCTGACCCTACAGCTTGCCCTCTGACCTCCTGCCTCTGGGTGTCCCAGCCCTGTTCCTCAGCCTTCTGCTCTTCTCTCTATAGCTCCTTCGTGCCTTATTACTTCCCCCATAGAACGGGCCCCACCTCTTTTCCCCCTTCCTGGTCAGTTAGTGACACAGCAGCCTTCCCCTGCTCTGTTTCTTCCACCTTGACCCCTCGCCAAGCTACTATTGTAACTCTAATAAATCCAAAGTGGGCATTGGGATGCCCCACATTTCCCACAGCCTCCAGGACACCCCCACCCCATGATATTCCACCATCAGCTGAAATCTAGCATTACCAAGGCCAAACCCATCACACTCTCCACTATACTGTTTCTATTTACATATTCATTTATTCAAAGCACACATGTGCCTCCACTCTGTGAAGGTCCTCTGCCAGGAGCTGGGTAGCCACTGGCTACATTTCTCAACTAATTCTAGACTTTCCCTGATGTTACAGGCAAGAATGTGAAGTTATATTTGACACATCCTTGCCTCTCACTTGCCTTTGCCAACCTGATACCGAGGTCTAGTTTTCCCTCCTTTGAAATGCGTCTCCTACTGGGCCCCCACGAAATCCCATTAACCCAGGCCTCCTAGGAGCCCTTCTCTTCCCACACCTGGAAGGCCACCTGGCCCTCCAGGCTGGCCTCACCATTACCGGTCTGCCCCCCTCCATTCTACCCTCATGTGACTTACATGCTTTATTTTGTTAAACAACACTTTTATCAATTATCTCTTCTGCTTAAGAGTTTACTGATATTTTGCAATTTTCTGAAGTGAATCATGGAACCCTGATTGCAGGAGAGGTTAGTTGGTAAAGTGTCCCATGAAAAAATAAGTTTTAAAAACACTTTAAACTATAGCTCCCTCCTGGAGAGAAACAATGCTTACTTGACTAACAAAAGTACCGTTAAGTCCTGCAGTAAAGAAATCTGTTTGATCTGGTATTTCTCAAAATTATTTAATTATTATTTATTTAACCACTGAACTGATTTTTTTTGAACAGCTATTAATAACAAACAGAACTGGTGTGTAACTTTAGCCATTGCTGTCCTTTAGAGATCTAGTTCAAACATCCTGTCCTATCTTTCCAAGACATTCTTAGTAAGGTCCTACCTATCTATCTACAGTTAGTTCTTACTGTCCTTCAACATGAATCTTCTGATCCTTCAAAGAATATGGTTTCATAGTTACAAAATGTTCACCAACACTGACCACTATTAGGAGTCAGATACTGGAATCTCCTTTGAAGGAAGAAGTGTTGCTCCTGTATACATGTACACAATAGATTCCTTAAAGAATAAATGAAAAGACACCCAGGGTGACATGTGGTCATCTCTACTTTCCAAACTGCTCAAAGGGTATTTGACACGAAAACCTAAGTAGCAGAGATTCTATGTCCTAAAGTAGGAATTTTTTTCTTCCAAAAATCCCTAAGAGATAATCATTTGGTCTCCATTTGAACACCTCCCTTGGTGAAGAACCCATTATCTTTAAAGGCCACCCATCCCATAGCCAGAGAGCTCTACTGGTTAGAGTTCTTTCTCATGTGTGGATGAAATCAGCCTCTTGAAACCATTTGAGAAATAGCTATATGTCTGGGTTCAATGGCCAGTGCCTGTGTGTTGGGAGGAACATACCCACTGGCAGCATGGGGAACTCTGCTCTCCTGTTTATCCAGGAAGGTAAATGCAGCGGCACAAAAGCAGCTTGGGCGCCTATGGCATACAAGTACCCTCTTCTTCCACCCTCCAATCCATGAATTTGCAGAGAAGCTTTCAGCACTTCTTCCTGAGCCTCTAAAGGTATGACGTTCTTGAAAGAACAGGAGTCTTATGATCCCAGAAGAGCTGCCCAAGGAAGCAGGAATATGAACAGGGAATTTGGTTCATGCATTGAACATCTGAAATGGTGAGCTGATAGCCAAATCTGAAAGGAATCAAAGAGAAGATAGGAATTTACGAATTGCTGGTGAAGCCAGCCAATGTTCACTCATCATCTCCAAGCCTCTGCCTCTCCTTGGAGGTTATCCTCGCTGCCACCTGTCTGTAAAAGTCACTTAGCCAAATCCCCAGCCCTCCTCTATGTACTTTCCTCTATGTTCATCGAGAAGTTTTCATCTCTTCGCTGCAGGGCCCCTCTACAAAGTTATTTGCATGTTTCCTCTTATGGAATGGAGCCATTTTTTAATAAAATTAATATCCCATTCAGTTCATTCGATCTAAGATGCACTTAGTCTTGCTAAATTGAGATGTTTTCTGCATCTGAAATGACTGAAAGTTTTTTTAAACTGAACAGAGACGTTAAAATGCTGGCCAAGATTTGCATTTCCAGATTCAATGAGTTTATATATGTAGTACCTAGAACAGTGCCCAGTACCTGGTTTTAGCTTTTATTATTATTTTACTGTATTATCTAGGTCCTCTATTCATACACACTGAACAGACAGGCTGGGGAATCCTCTCGGGCTGCAGGATCTTGGAGATGGCCTTGTCCAAGCCTTCAGAATCTGGTTGACTGGTCGAGGTTCAGGAGCTAAGCAACCCAGTCTTCAGATCCACTCACCCACTAACCAATCACTCCATACTCTTCAGCGAGTCTCCCCATCTTGGCATTTTGCAGAGCATTGAATAGAGCCAGTGAAAGCCTGGGATGTTTCATAATTGGGATAATTCTTAGCCATTTTTTTATGTCTAGCTGTTAGCAGCTGTTGAGTGAAAAGCAGTAGAATTAATGTAGTAATTCAGTGATGGGACTGCTTGTCTGAAGGTAACTCTCCTTGATTATTAGAGGTTGGGATATGCAGTCTTTAGCAATTTTGAATTAATCAGGTAAAAAGGAAATAAACTCATCTATGAGGCGATGTGTCTTCTGTTTCCCTCCAGGTCATTTTCTTGGTGAACAGTGGCTCCGAAGCCAATGACCTAGCCATGCTGATGGCCAGAGCACACTCAAAAAGTACAGACATTATTTCTTTCAGGTAATCACACCTTGGAATAACCAATTTTAATAACACTGACTTGCTCCAACACTAACTGTGCATTTTTAAAACATAGCCCAAAGGGGAAGGGGGCTTTCCCAGGAGTATCATTCTAATTTTATGTTGTTGTTTTTAAAAGATTGTATTTGTTTATTCATGAGAGATGCACAGAGAGAGGCAGAGACACAGGCAGAGGGAAAAGCAGGCTCCCTGCGAGGAGCCTGATGCAAGACTCTATCCCAGGACCCAGTAGTCATGACCTGAGCCAAAGGCAGACACTCAACCCCTGAGCCACCCAGGTGTCCTAATTTTAGGTTTTAGAGCAGAATCAGTCGAATGAATTTTATGACTGGATAACTCCATCTAAATTGGCCTGATACAAGGCAGGGTTCCCTGACTTGGGTACAAACAGCTTGGAGTACTACTAGTTATGTCATAGATCATTCTATAAAATTAAACAGATGGTCATATGACAGTTTTTTTAACTTTGAAGGTATGCCAAGTGGTTAATGACCGGTTGATACCCATAGATGTTCTATGATATGACAGAGGGCCCATTTTCATCTCTGCTTATGCTAAAGAGCCCTCTACTTCCTAGTGTCAGCTGCACTAGGTTTTTACCTTTTATTCTCTTTAACTTCAGAGGATGCATGTTTCTGCTTCTTCAGGTGACTTTTTGAAAATTGATAATTTAATAGATTAATTACAAACACTTGGTAGCTATATTAGGATTAAAAATAATAGAAAACTAAGCATTTTGTTTGCAGTTGCCTCCTTTGGGTAATTTTATATAGCACATAGAAATAGGTTCTTATAATAAGGTTTATGTCAAAGAGTGACTTAGTAAAAGTAGATAGAATGAAGAGACAGTCCCATTCTGTCACCTATCTGGCCATAATTTGTGTCTCAATTCAAAACATTTGATTACCACAGCTCATCCAATACTGCACATCCCATATAAAACATACGTGTAGTAACTATAGGCATAAGGAAATGTTTATTATCAAAGAAATATGGTAATAAAAAACGTGATTGATGTTTTACCCAAATAAACACGTTCAGATAAGTGTTGATCTATTCAAAGCAGTCATGTGTTACTAGGTTTCAACACGTTTGTGTCTCCTCCTTCAAGATAAATGACCATCCTTTTGAATAGTCTTAATAGTCATAAATCCTCACGTAAGGGTGATTTTGATTTGGGGAATTGTCAAAACCCAGTTGAAGCCAAAACTGGTGATTAGGATGATTTATACTAAATACGATAGTTTCAGGTTCAAAGAGAAACAAAACCTATGTTTCTCATATGCCAAATAAAGTGGCTTATGTGGCATTTGTGCAACAGCCACATTACAGGAACAAAGATGTGGCTTCTCAAGGTCACTGTTTTGAAGACTAATACTCACTGAATATATAATTACTGGCATGTTGCTAAAAATAAGTCTTGCTATTGAAAAGTAACTGAGTAGGGCAGTGATGAAGATTAGAGTTCTTGCCCAGATGTTCTCCAAAGCTTCCTTTCCCAGTTTCAAGTCTATGCCCCCAAAAGAAAAGACAAAGAAGTAAATTCTCGTAGCAGAGCCTTAGAAGATTTCTTAGAACTCACTAGAGTTGCATTTTAATAGTGTTCTATTTTATCTCCCTAGCCTTCACGGATCTTCTCTTTTGTCCTACTTGGCATTCCACAGGCCAGAAACCAAAAAAAAAAAGAACCTAACCCCATCTTCTCACTGTTGCTTCTCTGCAGAGGAGGCTACCATGGGGGCAGTTCTTCCACACTTGGCTTGACAAATGTAGGGTCCTTCAAAACGGAGCTCTCCAGTGGGTTGGGCTGCCAATCAGTGAGTTTTGAGATTTTTTGTCTTATTTTTCTAAAGGCTGCTGGGTATATGGTATGATTGACCAGATTGTCCAGGTATTAGGATTAGAAATGAATATAAAGCCTATCATTAATCAGGGGCTGAATTTGACTTAGTTGAACCAAAGCCCACTTGGAAGAAATGTTTATCAGATAGGCCTCCAGAGTCTGAGTAACATTTAATGATAGAGATTTTTAAACTCTGTCTTGCTTTTAAATAAAATCAAGTAAATTACAAATAAATGCATTGAAATTAGTTCTCAGAGCCTTGAAAGCATAAGATTCCTATAGAACCATCTTTGTACTCACCTTCTGTTCTCACCTGTTATGCCCACCTCAGCAAAAGAATCAGATATGATTATTCCTACTCTTTCAGATGCTCGTACCTAACTCTTGAGCAAGTTGTTTCCAGGTTGACACAAAATCAGTTTCCTTTGTGAAGTGCCCACATAACTGATTTCTAAGAAAAAAAAATTATCTTTTCAAACCAAAATATTAGGGTTTTATCCTAGGTAGGAGAGGAGTATGGGAGGCATCTCAATACCAAATTAAGAAGCCCTCTTATGCTAATCGGTATCACATGCTCCTCAAATTGGCTACCTTGTCTTCACATTTTGCCAAAATCCTTCTTTTGTCATTTACAGACAATGTGCCCAGATGTTTTCCGTGGCCCTTGGGGAGGAAGCCACTGTCGAGATTCTCCAGTGCAAACAATTAGGAAATGCAGCTGTGCACCAGGTTCAACTGGGCAGGGAGGGAGGTGTGTGGTGGATGGTCGGGAGGGGTAAGCAAACTAGAGAAAGGCTGAACCGTTCCTGAGTGAACAGATCTGGGGGAAAAAAAGGAAAAGGGAAGAGCCATAAGAAACAAAACCAGAAAGCCACTTCCCCACTCCAACTCCTCCTAACACCCTACCCCCACCCCGCCCGTCAAATCAACTTTTCTCATGCCTGCTACCCACCACTGTGTTATCTGACCGTGAGGAAGAGCGTCTCATGCTAACAGGGCTAAATTAAACAGACTAGCACTTGGTACTTAATTAAAGGAGCTCTGTTAGCTCTATTAGCAATCGTTCTGCTATCAATTTTAAAAGAAAACAAGGTTGGTGGGATTGTTTACCAATTCCCAGTGGTGAAAGGGAGAGGAAACGAATACTTTTAGCAATCTCAAAACTCCAGTCAAGAAGCTCCCCCAGGGACTCTGAATGCCAGCCAAAATGAGAGCTGTCAAAACTTAAGGCCATCCCCCAAGGCTGCTGACATCTCTTGCAAAAGTTTTAAAGGCATTCTCCAAAGGAAAGCTTCCACTCACTTACCGCGTTTTTATTTGCATTCTTTACCTATTCTTACCAAGAGAGGAGGCGTGGAAGCAGAATCTTCTTTGCTAATCAGCAGGTCTCACCTCATGCTTCTTGGCACAGTTCAGCACCTCTGAATAAGCTGCTCCTAAGTAGTGCGGAAAGAAAGAGCTAAATGCTTCTGCCGAAGATATCTGACGGAATAGTCTGACTCACAGGGTTGAGAAAAAGAATACAAATGGAAGTCTTCAAAATCAGCTTTGAAAGGAAGAAAATTCACAGGCTCCTTAAAATTCAGATGGGATAATGGCAAAATGGAGGTAGGAGGATAAAAGAATGAGCCCTGAAAGAAGATGTCTTGGTCACAGAACTTAAAACTGTAAGGAAATTTAAAGCTATATATACAACTCTCCATTTTAAAAATGAGGGAACCAAGGTCCACACCTGGGAGGCTAGAGAGCTAGGACTTAACCCCAAGCCTTCAGACTCCAAACCAGGGCCCCCCAGCCTATGGCCATCCTTGTTTACACTGACATCCCAGCAGGATGAACCCAGGGTAAAAATAATTCCCATTCTGCTGCTGACCAGGATTGAGAAGACCCTCGAAGTGAGGAGACCTAGATGCTACTCCCAGCCCCAGTTGGGTCAGCTATGAGCAAATGCTCCATCTTTGCTTCAGTTTTCTCATTTGTAAGATAGAGATAGCAGTACCTGCCCCCTGTCCCCTATTTCCAGGCTTCATAAGATCAAGAGAAGAGAGCTTTCTGTACAGGAAAGCAGATAATAGCAATGCTAAGTGTACCCCTAGAGCCATACCTGTGTGTCCTACCTAGATGGCATCAAGAATTATTATCGGTTTCATGCACCTCATAGACTTCAATCTGACCACAAAACCACGAGCACAGAGCTTAGCAGGCAGAAGCTCTCAAGAGATGGCCATTTCCCTCCATCCCCACTCTGTGTCCCTCCCTCTTTCCATCCTCTCTGCCTCTTCCCTCTTTGAGGGCTTCTTGGTTCTGGGCCAGGTTAAAAATACTAGAACCCCATGGTCATCTCTCTAGGGGCATCTGGAGGCTAGATGATAGTGACAGAAACACATTTTGGCTTCTCTGAACTGTTGTCCTTGGCATATCTGAGGTCAGCTGTTTTCTTAACTCATATCGTCAAGAGACAAGGCTGATATAATATAAAAAGGGACGGTGGCCTCCTCCAGGGCTTTTGGGAACCGAGAAGTGTCTGGTCTCTATCGTAAAAAAGCAGATTCATGTGTTTGCAAGTGTAAGCCAACGTGTAAGTACTTTGAGTATAGAAGATTCTAGTTCTCAATTCCTCTTAGGGTTCGTTCGCTGGGCGCATACAGATGCCAATCTTGGTAGAAGTTCTTTCACCTCCAGATTATGTCATCACGGTCCCCATGGGCATAAGCAGAGGTCCATGTTGTGAGCCTGATGTAGCTATTGCCGTGGTAGATTTCATTTCCTTCCTCTGTCCTTTGGTGAGGATTTTGTCTTTCCAAGTGTTCTTTTCAGACCCTGAATTTTAGATGTAACCTGTGATGACATTCACCTCCTAATGCCCACTGTCCCACAATGTACCAGGCCATGGACCAATCATGTCATTCTTCTTCCTTCACCTTTTGCGAAATGAGTTTCTTTTTTCCTTAAGAATTGTTCTTTCTGGGATCCCTGGGTGGCGCAGCGGTTTGGCGCCTGCCTTTGGCCCAGGGCGCGATCCTGGAGACCCAGGATTGAATCCCACGTCGGGCTCCCGGTGCATGGAGCCTGCTTCTCCCTCTGCCTGTGTCTCTGCCTCTCTCTCTCTCTCTCTCTGTGACTATCATAAAGAAATAAAAATTAAAAAATTAAAAATAAAAAAAAAAGAATTGTTCTTTCTTGGCCTTTCACTCTCTTTAACTGTTTCTATACCTCTGGCTAAAATAAAAACTCTTCCGTCTCTACTCTGTTGCTTGCATGGTATCCAGGAGAACATCCATTCTTTAAACCCTTGGTGTTGTCATGGTGACGCCACTGCACCACTGTCTCTCTCCAGAAGCAGCCTGACCTGGAGTTACAGCAATGAGCTCAGGAAGGAAATGCGAAATGTGAAATGAAATAAGAAGCTGATTACAGAAGGTGACCCCTCTCATCACTGAATGTGTGGTCAGTGGGAGACAAATCATGAAAGGTCTATCACAGGCTTAAGCAAAACCTTCTCTCTCTGTTTTGTCCAAATTTAAGCCATTAGGGTTGATTATGCTCCACCCTTGATTTCTCTAGTTACAGATAAGCTTGCTAAATTTCCAAATTATATTTTTTGAACATATGATCCACCCTTTAGAGTCATCTTTGGATGTTTCTCTTCTTTTCTTGATAAAAATTTAAAAATCCAGTCTCCAGAGGCAGAAATTTATTTGGCTAGTATATCCTGCTCATCAAACAACTTAAGCGATGCTAAAAATGTGCTTTCTGGGGTTGATATCCTTTTCATTACTTCTTCACACTTCCAACCTCTAACTCCAAGTAAGCAAAGACATCAAGTACCTCTCAAGTAAACTTTCCCAAAAGTCACATGTACGTTAAGGTCTGTTCAAGGCCAGGCAGTTTTTTCCCATTTTTAAATGAAGATCTGAAGTAAAATATAATTTATGCTTCAGTTTTGATGATGATGACAAAAGTTTTCTGTCCCTTATCTCTAGACTTCAAGAACTAAGACTACATCCATGCATCTAAGCTAGGACTAGGATGGGAGGTGGTGGCTCTCCTTCCAGATGGCTTTCACTGTCCCTGGGGCCAGGGCTTCCGTCACATCCACATGTCCCTCAGCACCCCTTCTGCTGTCCATGGATATGGGTTTAAGTTCAGAAACTGTGTGGTGCTGTTTAGAATCAGAGGTGTGGATGAAAATTCTGAAGGTTCAACCATGTGTAGATGTAGTTGATCTGAGACTCTTGGTATTCCAGAGAAGGCTTCCTCTCTCTTGCTCCCATGTATGAACATTATCTGGCTCTAGTACATTCTTCTTTAGACCAGACTCCAATTGTTCTATAAACATATTTATTAACTCTAAAGACTGAGACACTCTGTATCTTTAAAACTGTACATCAGATTAAGTGGCAATAAAAGGTAAATAGAGTTATTTCCAAATAGGTTAAATCCACACTCCAATTATTTTTGAATTAAATCTACCCAGTTGAGAGGACAAGTAACCTTAGGTGAAACAGCTCTGTATTCCAGACTCAGTGATACTTCGGGGCATTTCTTCCCCAGATGGAAATGACTGAAGTGGTTTGTTTATGTCTTTATGGCTATCCTCGTCTTTCTGCTCAAACCAAAGTACAAATTGTTCTGAAAGAATGTCCCCTCTTCAGAATTCTATATCCTCACATTCTGTTTACTGTATTCTCAGGATTCTAGTCCATCTACTCATCCTATTTCCTTTTTTCTATGGTTTCCCATTCTTCTGAATGCCATTCTCACATCTTCAAATGCTGTTTCGTTTGTTTGTGGTTCTTGTTTTTGCAGACTGCTGCCAAGCAAAAGACCAGTATATTGAACAGTTCAAAGATACTCTGAACAGTTCTGTGGCCAAATCAATTGCTGGATTTTTTGCAGAACCAATTCAAGTGGGTATACTGACCATAAACATTAATTGGGCTGACTTTCAAATTATCAGAGCATTTTAACTCATACATTCTAGAGAATTCCAAAATATTTAAGTGACCATTGCTGTGTCCCTCTCCAAATTCAATTCATTCTCTTGGCTCCTTAAAAAAAAAAAGAGTGCCCCCAATTTTCTACTGACCTTCAAAAACTATCTCCTGTATTCTTGGGCTGAACAGATAGATGAAACTATTGAATTCCTAAAATTCTGAAGAAAAGGAAACCCTAGCAATCTTTGGTTGCTTAATACCCACACCATCAGGGGGAGCCTTTCTCTAATGTTACCAAATCCCCTTAATCTACTTTGTTTCTAATCTCAGAAGAGAAAAAAGTTTTGTGTCCTTTTCCCAAAAGTCATGGCACAAGAGTAATGGCCCCTCTATTCACCCATAGTTGGAACAGTTCTAAAGACCATTTTAAAAATTGCTGGTATTACTAATGCTAATGATGATAATGATCTATCTTCTTTCATTTTTAATAGTTTCAAAGGGCTATGCTGTTATTATAGGACTCCCTGTTTGGTCTTTTGCAGGGGGTGAATGGAGTTGTTCAGTATCCAAAGGGGTTTTTAAAGGAAGCCTTTGAGCTGGTGCGAGAACGAGGAGGTCTGTGCATTGCAGATGAGGTGAGTGGCTGTGGAACAGGGTGATGTAGAGAGCGAGAACAAGAAAGGCATAGGGAGAAACCCCTTCAAAACCTCCTCTGCAATCCAAGACAAAAACGTCTTCTGTGGGAATTCCAAGATGTGGATTAATGAAGCCTTTGCTAGTTGACTGGTTGGTTGATGGATTAGTTGGTCCATTTAATAACCAAAAGAACCTAAACATCCAAGTTGGAGTCTATCAAATGAGTGGCTAGCAGGCACAGATGATGCTGTCATCACCTAAGATAGCTTTTTAAGTTCCCATATGGAGATTGTGTCAGAGGCAGTTCAAAAACCACATAGGAAATTTCATCTCGTAACCAAGTTTTCATCCTAATTTTGCCAAATAGTATTAACGAGGCTGGCAGCATTCATCTTAATAAAAAAACTTCTTTGGAAAAGATATTAAAAGAAAAAAATGCATGGGGCACCTGGGTGGCTCTATTGGTTAAACGTCTGACTCTTGATTTCAGCTCAGGTCACCATCTCAGCATCATGAGATCGAGTCCCAGCTCAGGCTTTGCGCTGGGTGTGGAGCCTGCTTAAGATTCTCTCTCTTTCCCTTTGTCTCTCCTCCCTTACAAAATAAAAGGGGGAAAAAATGTGGACGCTAAGAAAGAAGAGGGCCACCATTGCAGATATTTAAAAACTAGTTCCAAAAAATTCTAAAATAGCTTGAGCTAAGGCAGCATTGGTGGAATAAGCAAATGGTACCTCCAAAGGGATACTCTAAAGGGAATGAAATTCATTGGCTCTGTGTCTTTTTTAAAGGCATCAATTTAATCATAACCATACTTCATATTAGAGCATATCAAAGACAGCAGTCTTTTGTCTACTAGGAATAGCAATAGAGGTCAAAGGACCATTGCCAGGACCAGAGATGTGCTCCCGGCTCATTTCAGGGTGACCGGTCATAATTCTACTAACAAGAGTTAGACCCACCAGGAATAGGTGGGGAGCCTGTGAAGATGTTTCATACCTGTTTCAGTCCTGCTGTCTTTGCCTGAACATTTTTTCTCAGCTAAACATTCCCTATAGTGGACTTTGGGCTGTCTCCTTTGCAAAAATGTTTTTTGCTGATTTCCTCAGCCGGGTCTCTGTTATCCCCAGCTGGCCTGGCCAGTCCTCAGAGTGCTGCACATGTAAGCGAGGGCCAGCCCAGCCTCCCTTCCCCAACCTGTCGTTACAAGTTTAGGGACTGCAAGCCAATCAAAGTTAACTGTTACTAAGAAAAGAAAGGAAAAGAAAAGAAAAGAAAGAAAAAAAGAAAAGAAAAGAAAGAAAAAAAGAAAAGAAAAGATAAAAAAGAAAAGAAAAAAGAAAAGAAAATTCTGTTGGTTTACGATTTGTTAAAGAATAAACTTTAACCTTTGGAATCAGCACACAGTGAAGCTGCCACAGACTAATGAGAGGGCAAATAGATTAAATTTTAAAAATATATGACCTTCAGAATTTTCTAAGATAGGTGGTTTTCTCACAGTTTTGGTCTAAGAATTATTTGTTTACTTTAAAGAAAGAGCAAGTGAGTGCAGAAGGGGAGGAGGAGAGGAATAGGGAGAGAAAATCCTCAAGCCAACTCCCTGCTGAGCACAGAGCCCCACTCAGGGCTCAATCCCAGGACCCTGAGATCACGACTCCAGCCAAAACCAGGAGTCTGTGGGCCAACCGACTGAGCCACCCAGGTACCCTGGTTTTATCACTTTCAAGGACATAATTAGAAACTACCTAACATAGGGTGACCTTAAGAAGGATTGTCCTAATGACCAAGTGAAGATAAGAACTGCTAGATCTATAAAGTGCATGTAATAGCAATTCTATAAGGTATGTCCCGTCGTTATTATTTCAAGGAAACTTTACCAGAAAGGCTCTGGCAGAAATTTGCAGGGAATGTCTATGTGGCTTTATTCAGTTAGGCACTTCTGCTACTTCTGTATTCATTCTACGTACTAAGTACTGACTTTTATCAGGCACTCTGCCAGGTTGTTGTGGAGAAAGAGAGGAATAAGATACAGCCCCTGTCATCAGATACATACAGTGGTGACAGTAGTCCAAGGTGAGAAGTTCAGATGACAGCACGCCTGGGTGCCTTGAGGGGGAGCTCTACGAGGGCTCAGGAAAATCTTCTTAGAACAAGTGATGATGAGGCTGTTTTGAAGGACAAGAGGAGTTAATGAGATAAAGAAGCAGGGAGAGGGTCTTCTAGAAAGAGGGGAAAAGGCATGCACAAATAAACCAAAGTTAACTTGATCCAATCCTAATTTAACTGGCATAACTGGGTCATCTTCATAGTTCTCCAACCTGAAAGTCCAAGATTCTCAGGAAAGAAAGGAGATCACAGGGAAGAGAATGACGAGCCTATGTGGACCACGTGGCAACCATACCAGCCCCAATCCACTCCCTATAACTCCTGCTTCATCCAGCAGGGAAGAGGTGGTTTCTTCCCTGCTGCCTTATACACTGGAGATCCTATGAAGCATTGCTAACCAGAATGTTCCTTTACACATGCACTATTTATATGACTTTCATAGCAGTCCTGTGATATACTACTAGTACTATTTCTACTTAACAGAGTTAACAGGTTCAGAGGACTTCAGAAATATATCCAAAATCCCATAAAGTTAGTAGCACATGGTTTTTGGTAACTAAAAGCTCAGACACAGATTAAGGGCCATGTCCATGGTCATATAAAGATGGTGATGATGATGGCTGGCAAGGATGATATTGAAGAGGAAAAGAAAGGTTTCCAATGATTTTGGATTTGTGTTCCATCAGGTGCAGACAGGGTTTGGAAGGCTAGGCTCTCACTTCTGGGGCTTCCAAACCCATGGCATCCTCCCAGACATTGTCACCATGGCTAAAGGGATTGGGAATGGCTTTCCCATGGCGGCAGTTGTGACAACTCCAGGTAGGGCCTACGGGCAGGTTGCATTTGTTTCTGGGCCTCCTGCATCAGTGATGGTAGAAAACAGATGTTTGGGAACTTGTGTGGGTTGAAGACAGTGCTGGGAACTGTACATGCATTTCCTAAGCAATAATGAAAAGAAACAGTCTGCCATATGGTAGAAGAGATGGAAGAAAGCCAGCCCTTTCTGCTCTTGCTGTAGGGAGACTAATTCTCCCACCCCCACAATGAAATGCAGGGTTCTCACACTCCAACAAGGTATAGGAAATCGTGCCACAAAAACAAAACCCACACAAGCGATCCTTTCTAACCAACCTGAAGCTAACTGTGAAATTTCCAGGGAATCCTATTCTGAAGGAGACTCTTATTTGGTCTTACTGTTCTAATATGTTATAAACTCAAGGCTCAGAGTGACAGTTTTCTGCTTCCATCTCATCAACAAAACAACTGAATAAATATATCTCGCTTAGCCAGAATATTCTATCAAATGAACATAAGACCAAACCCTATTTTAAATTTTAGTGAGGTTTTATGGAAAATTATTTTTATGAACCATTTATCGTTAAAAGTCTTTAAATTATTTTGCTCTTCCCACCAATAGTAAGCACACTTCCGAGGTACTAAAGGATAATTAAGTGCTCTGATAGTTCAGTATTTTTATTGAATGAATAAAGTAATACAGAGTCCAAGCTCCTTCTGCTTGCCTCATGACAGGTCAATAATTTGAGAGGCGAGATGCTGGGGCAAGGAAAGCCAACAAACCAAGGAGATGCGAGACAATTGTCCTAAAGAATCATCTCTCCTGGGCAGGAAGTCCAAACTCCTTGTTTGTTAGCAAAAGGGAGAAGCACAAGGGAGTTGGCTGCAAAGGTGACCAATGTCTATGGACCCCTGAGAAAGGTCTCATAACTTCTTTGTCTTTGGTCATGGTCGCTCTTTGCCTATGGGAATCTGGTCATGTCCTTCCAATAAATCTTAAACATAGCATCAGCATTTCTGTCTGTACTTCCTTATCTCCTTAAGTGATGCAGGTTTCGGGTTAAAAAAACAAAAACAAAAAAAAACAAGTCTTTGCAAATCTCTGCTGTAAGCAAAATTCCTTCAAAGATTAACATGCCTACATACAGGGCAAAGCAGATGTTTCCAAGCTATAGGTCACAGCAACAAGAGAAAATGAAGCAATTTGGAGTCAGACATGCTAAGCTTCTACCTGTTACAGGTACTAAAATGTGGATGCAGAAAGTGAAATATAATGAACCAAATATATGCTCACCCTGAAAAAAATCCAGAAATTATGTTACTAAATCCTTCATGCAATCTTTTTTTAAGTATCTCCTTCTTAGTCCCAAGAGTATAATACAGAAAAAAAGGTTAACTAATGAAGGTCCCATGTAAATTCCCATAAATCAAATGTTAAGGTACTTTTCAATTCACAAAACACATGGAAGATTGTGTTATCATACTTCTCATTAAGTAAATAATTTTTCCATATCCACTGGCTGAGTAGATGAGTCAGCTAGGGCTACCATAACAAGACACCACACGCTGGGAGGCTTAAGCAGCAAATATTTATTTTTTCATAGTTCTCGAACCTCGAAGTCTCAAACCTGGTCAAGGTGCCAGCAAAATTGGTTTCTTGTGAGATATCTCTTGCAGATGGCCAACTTCTTGGTGTCCTTCTATGTCCTTTTCCCCAGACAGAAAGAGAGAGCTCTGATGTCTCTTTTTCTTCTTAGGATGATACCAGTCCTATAAGGGCCCCATCCTTGAGACTTCATTTAACCCTAATTACTCCCCTAAAGGTCTCATCTCCAAATCTGCTCACATTTAGGAAGAGGGCTTCGACATCTAAAGAAGGGTCACAGGGTGGGGAGACACACATGTAATTCCATCCCTAACATCCACTATCGGGCCACCTGGGTGGCTCAGCGGTTTAGTGCCACCTTCAGCCCAGGGCCTGATCCTAGAGACCCAGGATTGAATCCCACGTCGGGCTCCCTGCATGGAGCCTGCTTCTCCCTCTGCCTGTGTCTCTGCCTCTCTCTCTCTCTCTCTCTCTCTCTCTCTCTCTGTGTCTCTCATGAATAAATAAATAAAATCTTTAAAAAAAAATCCACTGCCTGGTGAATGAAGAATGGATTGGCTATGATGCCATGAAATATATTATTAATACAAGACAAAAGTAAATATAATTGGAATGGTGTGAGAGGAGATAACAGGAATGTCTCACTCTTTATCCACCTTTTATTTTCTCTCCCTAGAGATTGCCAACTCTCTGGCTAAATCCGTTCTTCACTTCAACACCTTTGGAGGGAACCCCATGGCCTGTGCCATTGGGTCAGCGGTTCTTGAGGTATGTTCTGGCAGCCACGTTAACATCCCTCATTTCACAAAATTACTTCAAAACCACACACACGTTATCCAGCCTCTGTCAATTACATTATTAAAGTGAAGAGGTAATACCAGTCCACAAATTTAAGTCAGATTTCCAGTCATTATTGTGCCCCTTCACCCATTTTAAGATCTACTCTGGGTGCTTGAAGTATTATGTATAATAAATATATATTTTATAGAATAGAATAATATATAATAAAGTTCATATGCATGGGAAATATAAGAAGAAGCCGCTAGCTGGTAGCACTGAAATTTCTTTTTTATTTGAGTGGTACGTGATGGATAGTCACCAACTGTTGTCTTGAATTCAGGTTAATTTTCACCCTGTCCTTGACCGTCTTCCTTCCTTTTGTTGCACAGTCATAAAGAGAATCTGAGTTCAGTGGGACCAATGAGGGAATTCAGCTGTTGTTCAGCCCCACTTGCTGAATTTTCCTGGTGTGTCCTCTGTGAAATGTCCTTGCTAATGTGCATAATAGCATTTGCTTAAGTAAGTAAGTATAGGGTATCCCTAGAAGAATGTCCAAGAAATGACTCACTGTGGTCATCTGTGGGGAGGAAAACTCGGCAGCTGGGGGACGAGGATCAGCGAGGATCCTTCTACTGTACACACTTTCATATATTCTGATTTTTTAATGAGACACATGATTCACCTACTCAAAAAATGTTAAGTATCTTTAAATAAAAATAAGTAAAAGCTTCCCTTGCTACTTAAAAAGTATGATAAGTATGATAAAATCACAATATGAAAAGCACAGCTAGGAATGTGTCATTTACTTCATTTTGTTGACATTGCCATTATGTCACCTCAACCACATAGAGAGGACTTAGGTGAACGAATAGGTCTTAAGTCATGAAGTCATGCAATTATTATCAGCTAAATATAAATGTAGTATATTGTGCGTAGTCAGTCAAGAATCACAAGTCTCTACCATGAGTGGAAGTAGGTGAAAATTTTTTTGTATCCTCAGGACCCTGGCCCTGGGCCCACACAGGGCTTCGTTCAGCTCGTCAGGTCGAGGCCCTGTGGTGGGACACTCGGCCAACGACAGTCTGTGTCTGGCTGAGGGCTGCTAAACTTAGGTCAGTAAGGTCCCAGTAGGGCCATAATCTACGACAGGTTTTTGTTCAGGTCTTTGTTCATTTGTCTTCTTCACCGCTGTATCCTACTTTTCAGCAAAGCCTTGGCGATAATGAACCTCAGGATTATGGCATCTGTGTTACAGGCTGCATTGAGACATGTCTTTTATTCTTTCCTAAATTTTTAACCATCCCTGAAGATCAGAAGGGTCTGGGGAAAGTATCCCCTATACCAAGACTCTTTTTCTCCTTACAGCAAATCTTCTTGTAGTACAGAGCATAATCACGTTAGACTTTGGTTTCCATTTGTCTGGTCAAGTTTCTGTAAAAAAGGCCATACACATTTACCTCTGTGTTTCTCAGTCAATATTAGAACTTTTTTTTTTTTTAATGCAAGGCCATTTGAGACTTTCTCTAAACAGGTGATTAAAGAAGAGAATCTACAGGAAAACAGTCAAGAAGTTGGCACCTACATGCTACAGAAGTTTGCGGAGCTGCGGGATGAATTTGAGATTGTCGGAGATGTGCGAGGCAAAGGCCTCATGATAGGAATAGAAATGGTGAAAGATAAGGTAGGTTCGGATATGCCGTGCTCTCTGTGACTTCCTGGGGACAGCAAGAGTTAAAGTGGAAAGCATGAGCCACAAGGTCACTTCATACATTCTCAGGGAGAGAGCACACAAGGCCAGCGAGGCTCAGCAAAGCCCATCCGAGGTACACGGGGAGTGCAAAACGCCAGCAGGTCATCAAGAGTTTTAGAGGAGGGAGGGAGGGAGGGCGTTTGGAACAGGGAGCTGATATTTTTCCTGCCGCTCTAGGCAAAGAACATTGGTGATGACTAAATATTTAGAATTAGACATATGGGGAAGGGAGGAAGTTATTTGGGGAGCGGCAGGTGGCCCAGAGAGCTTGGGGAAGTAAGGAAGAAGGCCAGGAGAGAGTTGTGATGATGGTTTGGGATGAGGACGTTAGGATCTACAGGATTTTGTATTTGTCTGTTTGTGAATATTTTTCAGTCTCCCAAGTAACTAGGCAGGGTGTGACTTTCGGATGACATTTCCCACAGTGACTCACACTCAATATGACAACAATTGGACTTAGCATTTTCCCCCAAACCAGTTATTCCTTTAAGTTCACTGTTTCTGTTTCTCACCCTCCACTGTTCTCCCAGTTACCCAGTGTCCAGATGAGAAAATAACCTTCTATCTCTTATTTCTAGTGCCAAATCCTGCTGATCCTTTCTTTGCCTCTGCAACCCAGGTCCCTCCCCTCTGTAAAAGCAAAGCCCAGATCATAGGGGAGTCATAGGGGGAGAATCTTGGCACCAGAGCGAAGAGTCAAACTAACTCCTTCACCTTAGCTCTTGCCCAGCTTTCTCCTAAGTGGCTTCTTACAGCATCCTAGTTTTGGAAAGTTGATGCTCAATAATTTTAGGACTCAGACCAGACTATGGGTATAAGACTCTTCCATTGATGCCATACAGCAGAGCCAATACAAAACTGGAATGTTTAAGATTTTAAAGCTAAGGGGGAAAAAAAAAAGCTAAGGGGAGACAATAACAAAATAAGAGTAACATGAGACTAGGCCCTCTGGCTCACAGGCCACAACATACTTCTCTTCAGCTTGTGGCCAAGGCAAGGGCTGTTATAAGGCTCAGAAGATTCCATCCCAGTCCCCAACCCAGGAGCTCCCCCAAAGATATCTACACTCCCAAGTCCAGACTCCACAGAGAAGGGAGGGGTTCCTCTTTTTCCCACTGGTCCAGCTTCTCCGTGCTCAGAGACACACGAACAAAAATGTTCATCAGGACTTCATCTGTCATGGTAAAACACCAGCATCCTCCCACATGGCCATTGGTACAGTACAAGCTAAATTATGGTACATCCATCCCACGGTGGCATAATCATATGTTTGAGGGGAAATATGTGCAAATTGTATTATAGGAAAAAATAAAACAGGCTATCAAATAGTGTCTATTGATTGAGCTCTGCCGTTGGGTAGTGTTAAGCATGCGCTCTGAAGGCAGACCACCCAGATTTTCACCCCAGCTCATCCATTCCTTAGTTCCATCTAATGTCCACTCAATGCCGTTCACTTCCCTACATCCAATGCCACTCAAACTTTTCCCCAACCATGGACCGCAGTACTCTCCTGTCTATATCTACCTGAGGCAATCCTAGCCTTTTTCCAGATCCAACTATTCACCACGCCTCCTTCCTAAAGCTTACCTTTGTTTTTCCCTTGGAAAAGGGCTCCAGGACTCAGAGAATCCCTCCAGCACCCACTGCCTAAAAAGCTCCTTCGAAAAGATCTTTCAAACTCTGTATTTGTTGGTTCAGTTTTCATGCAGAAATAGCTTACTTTCCTAAATAAGTTATGCACTTTTGAGGCCAGGAATCAGGCAGATGGTTAGTACTTCAAAAGTGTTTGTTGACTGAGTTCAGGTCCCTGCAACCCTTCAGACCATGTTCAAATAATTACAACAGCTCAGAACTTTACTATAACACTGTCCACCATAACCCAAAATTGAAATTCCCCTTTGCTGTTGGTGAGGACATAAATTGGTACAGCCCTTTAGACAGCAATTTGCCTGTATCTTTCAACATTTTAAATGTATGCACTTTGACCTAGCAATTCCACTTCTAGACATATGTCCTAAGCAAATACTCATAGAAGTTTGAAAGATATAGATGAGCAGGAATGTTTGTGGCATTGTTTAGAGTCATAAAAAATTAGAAACAACATAAACATCCAGCAATAGATGATTAAACAAATTATCAACAAACAATGAAATGCTGGGTAACCTTGAAGAAGACGAGGTACAAATACAATGACATAGAAGCATGTCCATGATATATTGTAAATTGTTAAAAGCAAATTGGAGAACATTATAAAGTATGATTTATTTTTTAAATATGCATATAGATGTATTTGCACACATAGAAAAAGTGTCTGGTTCACATGAAATTATTAATGGGAGGTAATCCTAGGCATAAGATTGGAGGAGAAGAAACTTTCCCATTTCCCTTTATGCACCCCCATTTCAGTTTAAGGCTTTTTTCTCAATAACCATGGATGGGTTACTTTTATAATTATTTAAATGCAGATTTACAAAAAAAAAAAAAGGTAAACATGAAGCAACATTACACACCCACCAAGAGGTTCGGTTACAAACATGCCTACTTGATTATCTAGCAGCTGGGACATAGGCTTGAGCACAGAGCCTGGGCAGCTGTCCTGGGGCTGTGTCTCAGAGTTTCCGGCACTGCTTTTCTCTGTGGAACGCATACAAAATGTTCAGTTAGTCACAGCAGTTGAGGACAGGGGATGATCAAATGGACAAGGGAGCAGGGAGGGTGCTGGCCCAGTCCAAAGTGAGGCCAAACTCCACCTGTCCAGACCTTAACTATCCAGCAAGGCCCCACCAACCCAACCTCCCCTAGAGAAACCCTTCCAGGGGGTGCTGAGTGCCTTCTGACCTCTCGCTATTCCCACACTACATTTGACCACTTTATGGTTCTCACAGCTACCTCCACTATTTTGTCATATTTTAGTCTTCCCTTTTTACTAGATGAGAACCTCAGAGGCAAGCAGGAATGTGTGATGACATCTTGGGATCAGTGAGAAGATCCTGGTCCTGTCCCCTATCCCAGGTCCTCATTACCTAGCAGTCTGAAAGTCTGAATGTTATTTTCTTTATCTCAAGGCTTTAGGACAGACAAAAATGCAAACATCTCTGGGAAGCCCAGTCTTACTCTGTGCTGGGACATTGAGACCTAAGCAGGAATGAAGGGGCATGAGGTGGAGTGCAGACTAGGGAGTGCAAGGGATGGATATTGAAGCCTAGAGGGAAGGCGGGTAGGAGCCCTGAGAAGAACAAAGCTGGGACCCCCTGGAGGGAGCCCTCCTGCACCTCATAAGGATGACAGGAGCCCGGATCATGCCTTATGCATGTGAAACCAGAGAGCCAGACCCACGCTGATGCTCATCACAGCCGTGCCACAAAAGAGAAACTCATGGTGGTGACAGCGATGAGTACTCAAGACAAGTTCACACCAGTAATTCCCACGCAAGCATCTGCCAGGCATTTCACAAATCCAGATGCCTTGGCCTGCCCCAAGTCTTCTCATTCCATACACTGAGCCTGAGCCCCAAATGTCTGTGGTTTGAAAAGGCTTCCAGGTCATGCAGACACACAGTCAGACGTGAAATGACTAAGTCAGAGGGAGGCATTGGTACTCAGGATCAGACGACAAGAGACGCACAGAATAGGCGCCAGCCCCCAGGCCAGGGCCACCAAAGGGGTACTGACACCTCTGGACCCCAGAGAGACCAACTTCAGATGCCTGATAATTTGAAACAGCCTCCGGCCCCCCAAAGTGCTTACTTTTCCCAACCTTGGAGGATTAAGTCTTGGGGGACAAAGAGGAAATTCCACAAGCCAGAGAGATGCGGACAGCTGGCGCCACCCCAGCTGCCCAGGCCATGCAGTGGCCCAGGGAAAGCCTGGATCGTTCAAGCCCTTGTGTAACTTAAGAGCCATTTCCTGGACTTTGATATGAGCCCTCTACGTGAGCAAAACAAAGTGAACAGTTGAGAATTACCACACCAATAAAGCCAGCTCCACATTTGGCGAGGGAAGAACCAAGTTCCCAGGACTGCCCTTAGCAGAGCCAAGATTCACCGGCTATCTGCATTCAACTTCATTTTTTCTTTTGGAATTTGGGATGAACTGGGATAAAAACAAGTATTTTTAATAACACCACCTCCCCCCCAAAAATTCCATCCAGTAATTCACAGCTTTATTTTTCTAATAGCTATACTCAATTACAGTGAGGAGAGAGAGACTGAGAGGGAGGGAAGCGGGTTGGTTGTTTGAGTTGCTTTTTTGCCCCCTCTCTTGGAAATAACATCCTTAACAAGTCAAACCCGAATAGGAAATATGTATTAAATGTATTTGCAGATGAGCCGCCAGCCTCTTCCCCAGGAAGAAGTCAATGAAATCCACGACAACTGCAAACGCATGGGGCTTCTAATTGGCAAAGGTGGCATTTTTGCTCAGGTAAGAGAAAGGCCGGCCTTTTCCTATCCCTTTAGGTGGGCGGCTCCCCGTTGTCCCTCCTGGTCTCTTCCTCCGGGCAGGATGCTCAGGTTTCTAGAGGGGGGTGCAGTGAGGCCCGCGGGCCACTAGAGGTCGCCGTGTTCGAGCGGTTGAGTTCCCGCCGCTCTCGGGGACCGTCCAACAAGGCACCAAGAGGGACGTACGAACCACAGCCACGGGACTTGCGGTGCGGGTCTCGGCAGAGTCATCACGGTCTTGCAATGACTAGTTTGCCGCACGTATGAATTAACTCAACCTCAGGCTCTGACTTTGGGGACTCTAAACCTGCTGGGGCATAGAGGCCACTGCGGCCAGGAGCGACCCAAGAGTGCTGGCGGGTCCTGGTGACCCTGCAGGACGGGGGGGGGGGGGGGGGGGGACCACCCTGGCTGGGTCCCCGGTGGGAACTCAGAATCAGCCGCTCACGGCGCCCTTCGCCCTCAGGCTGGGAGACGCAGGGACCAGCTTTCCCTGCTCCTTCCTGCAAAAGCCACAGACAAGCCCCAGGCAGGGGTGGCCCTGGCGTGGCCCTGGCCTGTTGGGCGGGCGCTGCTCCTAGAGCCCCCTGCCCAAGTCTCCCACGTCAGCAGGACCCTCACCCTGAAGCGCTGATATTTGAGATTTCGCGTATCTTCCGCCCCTCCCCTTCGTCATCTTTCTTTCCCGATGTCATTCTTCCGCTTTCCCTGCTCCATCCCTGCCCCACACTCTCGAGGCGCCAACACTCTCGCCTCCTACTTGTCAGGGAGCACAGGAGCTCTCGGATGACATCTCTGTGTGAACTCCGGTGTCCCCACTCCACTTCTTCCTTTTCTGAAGATTCAGGCACTGAAGTGTCTCTCCTATTCAGATTTAGATCCTCTCCCTGTACTCCTGACCCCTGACCCTCTCTACTTTTGCTCAAGGGGACATCACTCGCATCTGTGACTCTTCCCCGTTACGCGATAGGCTAAACCAACCCGCCTCCAACAAAACCAGATGAACGCTTGTGCCGGGACATTCGCTGCGAGTTCTTTCTAGTCCCCGTCACAGTTATTTTTCTATATGAATTAATGATCCAAAATCCTGTAACTGGGCAGCCCGGGGGGCTCCGCGGTTTAGCGCCGCCTTCAGCCCGGGGCCTGACCCTGGAGACCCGGGATCGAGTCCCACGTCGGGCTCCCTGCGTGGAGCCTGCTGCTCCCTCTGCCCGTGTCTCTGCCCCCCTCTCTCTCTGTGTGTCTCTCATGAGTAAATAAACAAAATCTTTAAAAAAAAAAAATCCCTTAACTTACAAAGACCCGAACATTGTTTACTTAGTTATTTCTTAGTTATCTGGGAAGCCCGTCAGCACTAAGCAACAGTTGCTATGCTGGATACTAAAGTCACAGTGAGGGGGATCCCTGGGTGGCTCAGCGGTCTAGCGCCTGCCTTCGGCCCAGGGCGTGCTCCTAGGGTTCAGGGATCGAGTCCCGCATCGGGCTCCTTGCACGGAGCCAGGCCTCTCTAATAAAAAAAATAAAATCTTTAAATATATATTTAAAAAAAATAAAGTCACAGTGATAAATAAGACCCCGTCCCTCCCCTCTCCGAGCTGGTCTCCGAGCTGGCAGGAAAGAAAGACACATCACCAGCAAGGACACCGCAACGCAGCAAGCTCCCGGAGGGCTGCAAAAAAGGAATATTACAGGAGGAGGAAAGAGAAGGGACTCCTAGCCCCGGCCTCCTGGCCGGGCTGAGCCTTACACCTTACGCAGCGAGATAAACACTCAAGGCTCGGGCAGGAACACGGCGGGGTGCCAAGAGCTCCAAGCACTCTCGAGCTTGCGGCGGGCAGGGTACTGACGCGGGCACCCTAATGCTCGCCGGGCGGGCGCCGTGGGGCCCCTCAGCCGCGGCGCCTCCCGCAGGAGAGGACTCTCGTCATGCTCATCTTCCAGATGAAGGACGAAAGGCACCGACGGGTTAATCGCTCCGGTCACAGCTGGTCGGCCGGGGGAGGCACCGGGACCTGGTGTCTGGGTCCGTCCTCCGCGCCGCGAGGATGAAGCTGAGGCCTCGGGCCTGGGGGCAGGGAGTGTGGGCGGCCGGGGAAGGGGTGCGGACGGCGCCCGCCCAACCGAGCCGCGCGCAGCCGCGTGCAGGGGGCGCGCGGGGCCGGGCGGGGCGGGGCGGGGCGGGAGGGGCCGAGGGGAGGCGCCCGCCGCCGCCCTACTTGGTTCCGGGGCGACGGCAGGCCGCACGGTCGGAGGCGGTACGACCCCCGCTGCTGCACCCCGAGGTGGCCTCTGCACCCAGGCCCTCCGCGGGGACCGCAGCGACAGCCCGACGCGCGCCGGGCGTTTCCGGGCGGAGGGAGTGCGAGGCCGAGCGGCGCCGCGGGGAGGGTCAGCAAGGCCCGGGGACTCCGGGGACTCCGGGGGGCGCCCCTGCCCCGAGGGGAGCGGGTGCAAATAAGCCCGCGGGCTCGGCGCGGAGCGGCTGGGGCGGCTGCGGGACGGGCGGGGCGCGGGCGGGGCGCGGGCGGCCGCCGGCACCCACGGCGCCTTAGTCCGTCGGGGCGAAGGGGCCAGTAGCGTTTGTAGAGGGGCGGGGGGGGGGGCGCCGAGGAGCCGGAGGGGGCGCCACGCGGGCTCCAGGGCCGAGGGCTCCGCGCGCCGCTCACCTCCAGGCGGGCACGTGGGGCCGGGCGCGCGAGCGCACGAGTTTCTCGAAAGATCTTGGCGGACGGCTCCTGAGCAGCGGGAGGCGAGGCGAGGCCGTCCTGACCCGGGGAGAGGCTGGGAGCCGCGGCGGCAGGTTAAGCGCCCCCCCCCCCCCCCCGGGACGGACGCCGGACGAGGCCCCGCAGAAGACCGAGAGCCGGAAACGCGGGCGTGGGCGAGCCCCCACCCAGGGCCCCCGGCTCGTCCCGCGGGCCGCGGTGGGGGGGGGCAGCCTCGGCGGGGGCCGGCCCCGGACCTGCGCGCACGGACGTGGGGGCGCGGGGCGCGCGGGGAGGGCCGGGGGGCGCGCGGGAGGAGGGCGGGGGTGGCGCGCGGGAGGAGGGCGGGGGGGGCGCGCGCGGGGAGGGCCGGGGGGGGGGGGGGCGCGCGCGGGGAGGGCCGGGGGGCGCGCGGGAGGAGGGCCGGGGGGCGCGCGCGGGGAGGGCCGGGGGGGCGCGCGCGGGAAGAGGGCCGGGGGGCGCGCGGGAGGAGGGCCGGGGGCGCGCGGGAGGAGGGCCGGGGGGCGCGCGCGGGGAGGGCCGGGGGGGCGCGCGCGGGGAGGGCGGGGGGGCGCGCGCGGGGAGGGCGCGGGGAGGGCGCGCGCGCGGGAAGAGGGCCGGGGGGGCGCGCGGGAGGAGGGCCGGGGGGCGCGCGGGAGGAGGGCCGGGGGGGCGCGCGCGCGGGGAGGGCCGGGGGGCGCGCGCGGGGAGGGCGGGGGGCGCGCGCGGGGAGGGCCGGGGAGGCGCGCGCGGGAAGAGGGCCGGGGGGCGCGCGGGAGGAGGGCCGGGGGCGCGCGCGGGGAGGGCCGGGGGGCGCGCGCGGGGAGGGCCGGGGGGGCGCGCGCGGGAAGAGGGCCAGGGGGCGCGCGGGAGGAGGGCCGGGGGCGCGCGCGGGGAGGGCCGGGGGCGCGCGCGGGGAGGGCCGGGGGGCGCGCGGGGAGGGCCGGGGGCGCGCGTCGTGCCACCAGCATCCCGGCGCTGCCGGCGGGCGGGAAAGGGAGGAGGGCGCGGTGGGGCCGAGCCCCCAGGCCAATGCGGGGTGGAGGAGACGGACGTTTTGGCGAAAAGGGCAGGCGCGGTGGGCCTCGGCAGCGGGCTGCTCCTGGCAGAGGAGGGTCGCAGCGCGGCCGCGGGGGGCCTGGGTGCAGAGGGCAGAGGAGGGTTCTGGAAACTGAGAAGCGAGAGGGTGGTAGGTGCCTGGCGAACGCGGAGGCTGCCCTGGGCGCTCCGAGGGGTGCCGGAGGGAGCCCTCCGTGAAGGCAGGGGGAGGACCAGGAGGTGAGCGAGGACCGGAGAGGAAGGCGGGCAGCGCCAGATGCTACCAGAACGGTTAGGAGATGGGAGGTGCGCGGCCTGCGTACAGCGTCGGGGAGGGAGGAGACCAACCCAGCGGGGACATGAAAGACACGTCAGAAAAATAAGGTTTTAGATTCTTATTCTTGGCTTAGTGCATTTTCTCAAAGTTGTATTTGATTCTACGATGACCCGTTGTTGTATTTTCCTTTGTCTCCTCAGACGTTCCGCATCGCGCCCTCGATGTGCATCACTGAACCAGATGTTAAGTTTGCAGTGGAAGTATTTCGGTCTGCCTTAACCCAGCACAGGGACAGAAGAGCTAAATAAATTGTTTAAAAATAAAAAACCATAAGCTTCAAACCATACACTTCAACTTATGTTCAGGGGTTAATTTAAGGAATTCGATTATATAATTGGTACCAGTTGTAGAGGACACGGTTGACTGCCCACCAGTCAGATGGGTTCCCAGACCCCCATTATCTTAAGAGACCTTTCAGAAAAAGGTCTTTCTTCAGAAAAAGACCTTTATCTTTCTTCAGAAAAAGACCTTTATCCCTAGCTCAGAGAATAAATCCTAATTATTCTAGGTTACTTATGGTGATTTAATTCCCCTGTCAGCCATTGGTTTGTGCATGACATGTGACATATTTTGGGACAACGAATCCTGAAGGAAAATATTTTCATGGAGGTGCCTTCAGGTGAAGGTTTCTTTATCGCCAGAAGACATGTCTTCTTACACCGATCATCATGGGCCATGCTCAAATCATGCCATTTTGGGGTCATGTACACAAAGCTTCTTTGCTGGGGTTGGAAGGTAGAAGGAAATTGAGTCCTTAGTAATGTCAATGAGCCTCTGACTTAACCAATCCTAGATTCTCATCTTGGAGCTTTGGGTTATATAAGATAATAAATTCTGTGTATTGCACAGCCTTTTTGGTTTAAGCTTATTATCTGTTACTGTAGCTATAAGCATCCTAAGAAATGATGCAGAAAATACCCCAGGTAGGTAACTGTCCTCTTCTTTTTTTTCTTTTTAAGATTTTATTTATTTCAGAGAGAGAGTAAGCAAGAGAGAGAGAGAGAGTGCAAGCAGGGGAAAGGGCAAAGGGAGAAGCAGACTCCCCACTGAGTAGGGTACTTATGCAAGGCTCAAGACCCCGGGACCATGACCTGAGCTGAAGGCAGCACTGAACTGACTGAACCACCCAGGTGCCCCTTGTCCTCTACTTTTGTAACTCCCTTAAAATGTCTATCAGAGCCTACTTCTCAAATTCTACTTTCATCCCCCTACTCTGAACTAAAACCCTCATTTCTCCTATCACAATAGTCTCCAAGACCAGAATTTTCCAGCCTTTAGTCATTAAAATGCACATTCCTAGTGGTTTTTTCCCATGTGTGTGCCACTTGTCTTAGAACTGACTTAATATTTTTTTCCTTAACTTGTTTTATTTAGATGTATTTGATAGTAACCTTTCTATAATAATAATAAGTGGGAAAGCAGTACTTCTTGTTCTACTGGAAAGTAATCGTTCAAACAGAACAAACACAAAGCAATGTGATTCAGTTCTAGCAAGACACAATTGCTGGCACATGTTCCCAGTCTGAGGCTTGTTCCTTCTTTGTTCAAAAGGGAGATTAGAGAGTATATGAGGGTGTCAAAAACTACCAGCAAACATACCCTCTTCTTAACACAAACAGAACAGGATCCACAGAATTAAAAGGGAAAAACAACTTTCTCAGCATGCAGTTAGATGTTTATTTGCGCTGTGTCCAGTTCGATGCCATGTTCTAGTGGCCTACCCCCTGAGGTGTCTGTTCCACTAACACATCCTACACCTCACTGCCAAATTTGTCTCCCGTGGGCATTGACTTACACATGCCATTCCCTTGCACAAAACCTTCCAGTTGCTCCACATGGCACCCTGGATAAGATCAAACCCCCTTTAACAAGGAGCTCAATGCTTCCATGCTTACACATGTCATTCCCTTGCATGAAACCTTTGAGTTGCTCTGCATTGTGCCCTGGATAAGATCAAAACCCTTTTAACAAAGAGCTCAATGCTTTCCAATATCCAATTTCCAAACAGAGCAAACACTTGAGAAATGCTCTGTTTTGACAAGTGGAAAGATCACTGAATTGAGAGCCAAATGATCTGAATTCTAAACTCAGTTTTCCACCACTTATTTGCTCTAGATGACCTTGGATGAGCCTCCTAACAGATTTTTAAAACTCGTTTTGGTCCCAGACTGATTGATACTTGCCCTTCCGACCTCCTGAGTTGTGTTGGGAATCAAGTAAGCTAATGATCATAAGAGCACTTGAACTATGCAAATAGAAATTCTTCCCGTCAAGCTACGTTTCTCTTCTTCCCTCTACTACAGAATCTCCAAAGAGCAGATTTTGTGCTTTTACTTCTTTGGCTCCTGTCCATGTCTCAGCGACTAGGATCTCACTCCTGCCTTTCATTCCTTGGAAACTACCTTCTCAAAAGGCTATCAGTGACTTCCTTATGGCCAACACTTAATGTTTCCTTTGAATGTGCTTTCTTTCTTTCTTTTAAATTTATATATTTATTTGAGAGAGGGAGAGCACAAGCAGGGGAATGGCAGAGAGAGAGGGAGAAGCAGATTCCTCACTGAGCAGGGATCCTGACTTGGGGCTCAATCCCAGAACTCTGGGACCATGACCTGAGCTAAAGGCAGACGCTTAACTGAGCCACCCACATGCCCTGAACGTTTTTTCTAAACAACTGCTCCCTCTTGAATATGATTTCCTTGGCTTCTGCAATGTGGTCCTTCTATCTCAGATGGCTCCTTCTCAGGCTCTTTCCCGGCAGCTCCTCAACTACAAGGCTCTGTCTTGGGCCATCTCTTCTTCCAGGCTATACTCTCTCCTCTAAATAACTTCATTTGCTTCAGGAATTTCACCTGTCCTGACTATACTGATGACTTCCAAATATTCACCTTCAGTCTCAACCTTCTTTCTGAGCCCCAACCCCAAGAGTCTAGCTGTCTGGACACCTTCATTTGGATGTCACAAGAACACTCAAAATTCAGCATAGCTGACATAAAACACACTGAATATCTCTCCTCCAATGAACCCCTTCTGGATTAATGATACTTTTTTTATCTCAGTCTCACAATTTAGGGCATCATTTTCCTCTAAGTTATCTTTTTGCTCTTCATATGACTAAGTCTCATGAATACATTCTCCAACATAGTTTTTCCAGTAAGTCCATTTATACCAAAACTGCCTTAATTTTTTTTAAGATTTTATTTATTTATTCATGAGAGACACAAAGAGAGGCAGAGACACAGGCAGCGGAAGAAGCAGGCTCCATTCAGGGAGCCTGATGTGAGACTCAGTCCCTGAACTGGGATCACTAAGCCAAAGGCAGACACTCAACCACTGAGCCAGCCAGGCATCCCCCAAAACTGTCTTAATAGGGTCATCAGCATCTCTTCTAAACTATTTAAACTACCTCCTAACTGGTATTCTGGGCTCCTTCCCAATCCATTCTCAACACTGATACCAGAGTCACTTACTTAAACAGTAAATATGGTCACATCTCTCATCTCCTGTCGCCTCTGAGGATTCCCTTTGTCCATGGAACAAAATTCAAACTCCCAACTATTATGACATTCAACGGCCTTCACAATTAGTCCCCAAACCACTTTTTTGACCTTTACTCTTTTTTTAAGACTTTATTTATTTATTCATGAGAGACACACAGAGAGGCAGAGACATAGGCAGAGGGAGAAGCAGGCTCCATGCAGGAAGCCCAATGTGGGACTTGATCCGGAGACTACAGGATCACGCCCTTAGCTAAGGCAGACACTCAACCACTGAGCCACCCAGGCATCCCTTGAGCTTTACTCTTGCTGTTCTTTTCATGCCATGCACGTCAGTTCTTTGATCCTATAGTTCACTCTACCTGGAACATTCTTCCTCTCTTCTTTGTAGAAATCACAGGGTCAGGGAGATTGGACAAAGAAGCCAAGAGTTACTTCTTTGTTCTTCTCCAATGTCTTCCCATTTTCAGTGTTCCTTTTCTTTAAAAATAAAGCAAAAGGAAAGAATGTTGAAAATAAAGTTTATTGAGGTGCCTGAGTGGCTCAGTTGGTTAAGCATCTGTCTTTGGCTCTGGTCATGATCCTGCGTCAGGCTCACTGTTCAGCAGGGAGTCTCCTTCTCCCTCTTCCTCTACCTCTTCCCCAGCTTGTGTGCTCTTTATTTCTCTCTCAAATAAATAAATAAAATCTTTTAAAAAACAGAAAAGAAAGTTTATGATAACCATTTAAAACATGAAGAGGAAACAATAAAATACAAATTTTAAACCGAACAAAAACAAAACGAAATGTTTCCATGCTCCAGCCCAAGTTCTTGCCAATGCCAGAACACCCTCTCCTAGGAGAAATAGGCTAATGGGATTTAGCTGTTCAGATAAATTCGTAGAGCATATTCCTTATGGCTTCCTGAATCCTACAGGAGGTGTATGCCTACCGGCGTACTGTTACCCTCACACCTTCAGGGGTCACTCTAGAGTAAAAACCAGCAATGGAACTCAGCTGGGTAGCCAGGTCCTGGGCCTCATTTCCTGACTGATGGTTGCATGGCTCTGAGCACCTATTGATCAGGAGAAACTGCTCCTCTTTCTTGAAGAGAATTTGGGGATTTAAGATGCATAAGCCATCAGAAGAAGCATGGAGCAGAAAGGGCAAAACCTATAGCCTTGAGCCTGGATGGTCATTAATTTCTTTCACGAGTTTATAAACATGATGGATTCCTTCTGCTTTCCATTTGGAGCCGTGGGCAGGAGCTTCGCACCCCCATTTCCCCCCTTCCATTTTCTGCTCTACCCACAGGAGGTGGGAGGTAAGCCAGCTTACATAAGGCAAGGAGCCCACATTCTTGCCAAGCTCTTTTTTATTTCCTTTCTTGTTAAAATGGTCCAAAGTGAAGATAACGAACACTCAGCTCAAGTAAACTTTTTTCCACACAAGGAACATATTGACAGTCAATCATGTGATTAGAATATAACAGTAAAATGTTGGCAGCTGTTTAAAAATTCTTGCAGTACCAATCCACTCAGGAGGGAGTAATTTAAAAAAAAAAGACCCCATCATATCAAGCTTTGGCTATGCCATTAATAATGATTATAAAGTGATGTAAAATAACACTTATAAAGAGAAAAACAGTAACAAACTATGCTCTTATTTGTGTTATGAAACTCTATTTTCGGTATCATTGTAGTTTTTGACTTTCCGCTAATTCCAAGGTAATCTCTAAACTATGGAGGACTTCATTCTTCCACCTTTGAAATCTCGCTTAAATCTTACATTTCTTGTAAAGAACAATGGAAGAATAATAGAAAAACATCAAAACATTTGCCATTTTGTCATCAGAATGCCAATGCCAGAGCATCTTTGTCATCATCAGGAGCAAAGGTTGAAGGCTGCTGGGTGCTGCATCAACCGATTGCTCTGGGGTCATTAAAGCTGAAGGCTCACTTCCAACTGGACACAAGCAGTAAAAATGGGTCATAGCTTTGCCCCATTAAAGATGGGCACAGTAGAAGACAATGCCCCAAAAGGATCTCAACAAAAGCAAAAGGTCCACCTAATTTAGTAAGAGTGCAGACAGAAACAAAGCCATCATGATACCAGTCCAGATGCAGGGAATGTCTGCAGAACTGCAAGTGTCAGGCTAGCGTCTGTGATGAAGAGCAGCCACCCAAAGAGCTCTCAAGGTCACCATCAAATTAAGAACTGGGTGGGGAGGGTCGTCGCAGACAGCTGCTAGTGCAAACACGAACTTTGAATAAGTCCCAACAACAACAACACGATGCAATGGAGTGAGCCTGCACACTCTCTCCACCTGATTTATTTCCAGCAAATTCACTTCTGCTGAAGCTTCCCGTG